TATTTATTTATTTATTTATTTATTTATTTATTTATTTATTTATTTATTTATTTATTTATTTATTTATTTATTTATTTATTTATTTATTTATTTATTTATTTATTTATTTATTTATTTATTTATTTATTTATTTACAATCGAATAAGCCTGATGTTGATAGAATCTAAAATTTAAATATTAATTAAACGTATTAAAATATTTGTTTTTCCTAGATAATTCTGATGATGGAAGGGATGAAGTATTATTGAATAAGTTCTCTTTTGAATCTGAAAGAGGTAAGCCTGTTTTGTACTTCAAACATTTGTCTTCACGTGACATGGCAACTCCAGCCACTCACGCATTCAAAATGAGGCGCTTGCTGATTGAACAATATTAAAGTAACTTCATAGTATTAATATTAATGTCACATTTCATTCCTGCATTGGCCAATTTGAATTCTTACATCCATTTTGATTAAAGATAATTTAAAAAAATTATTAACGAACTCACCGTTCTGCCTTTCACTGTTGAACCACTTTGCAGGTGACATTATAAATTATTGATTCATGTGTTTTGAATGTTGTTAAACCACCAGACAAATTTAATGGTCAAAGTATACTCCGAATGGATTCCAGTTCTTTACTGGATACGAATCGCGTCCACCAATCTCTGTCCTCAAAAGGAATTCGTGTAAGTATGTTTATATTAAACTTAACTAACATTACATTAGGAAAACTAAAATTAAGCAGGGACTCCTTCGGTCAAACAACAGCTAGGCGAAGATCAAGTTGCCGCAATTGAGGGGAGTAGCCTTTACATCTGGTGACCGACCCTTGAGGGAGGGGACAGGATGGAATCATTGGCCCATGCAGAGGTCGGAATGAGGTTGCTGCTGATGACTAAATTGACCCTCATGAAAGAAGATAGTTTAATAAAAAGTAAACTGAATGGAAAAATGGGCACTCGTGGCCCAGGTGACATAATTATATAAACAGCCTGCTTGAAGTAATGGGTTCTTGGGAGACAAAATATGTTTGTGTGACCCATATGGCAACGAGATGAAGGTGCTCACTTCCCTAGCAACAAGATAGCAATACAGGGCAAGACTGGAGCTAAATTCCTAGGTGTCAGGGTATGCAGCCCAATGATAAAATGATGGATGGCACAAACCAACTGTGAGCTGGTAGCATGGAGACATAGCAATGAGATACAAAACTGCAGAAAAGTTTTTGCAAATGTTCAAAATGCAATTAAATGCTGGAAAGTGTCTAAAATGGAAGCTGAAGTACATCTGTTCAGTGTCAGCTATGTGTTGACTGGTTCGATGAAATCACCCATGCAGAGGTATGGCGCAATAACTGTGGCGATTTTAATCGGTTGAAATTAATAGTGCTGAATCCTAGGTCAAATCTGGAAATGTACAATATAATTAAATTGGAAACAAGCACGAGACTATGTTAGACACAATTTAACACTTCGTTGATCTGCGCTCGTCAGGAATACAATCTAACTTGTGATAGTGATCCCTAACTCACAAACGTTGACGTCATTTCTTTTTTTAAAGTTGAATGTGGTATTTTATGTCCAATATAAATGCTTTTCTGGTTTAAACAATGCAAAATTACAGTTACTATAGTTACTGAGCGCAGGGAAATGTAAAAATAATGTATATTCTACTTTTTGTGTTTAAATTGTTAGGTAAGACAAATTGCAAAACGAAATACAAGACTCATTAAGAATTTAATTTGATAGCATTCATAACAGTGTGTCAATAAACAATATTTGTGAAATAAATCTCCTTGTGCAAGTTATAGAAAATTATGTTAATTTGTTGTGTGCGGCACATGTACACCTTTAAACCTCGATCGATTATACACGATTCAAATTGGCATGATGGCTTCACGGTAGAATGACAGTATAATCAATACACATGTAAATTACGTCTTCTATCAGGGGTAAAATTCTCTCTCTCGGGGTCTCCACACTTGTCAGGGGGGGAAACTCGTCTCGTCTCTATATCTCGTCCCCTTGAGGTACGGGATCGGGAATGTCACTTATACTTTACAGTCAAATAAGACACACACAACGAAATACGTTTCAG